AGTTTTTTTTGTTTTGTTTTGTTTGGTAAGTGATTTCACGTTGCTGTTAGTACTAGTGAAGCTTCAAATCTATATACTTCTTTATCATAGTTAGATTAAGATCCATTATTAACTATTTTTCCTGGATTGAGCTTCCACGTTACTATACAAAATAGATGACACAATCAATCTTTCCTTTTCATCCTCATAATACACTTTACTACTTTCAACTATTTCTATTTATTCAGAACATACTTCTTCTGTTTTATTGCCACAGGCATGAGGAAACCTTTTCTTTGTTCTTATTACCTGGAGAAACCTGTCTTCTTCCATCTCTTTGCAGTCTGTTTTCATCAGAATGTACTTATTCTGAGGAACATTTTCTTTGCCTGCCTTGTGTTAGTGAATTTTCCATTTTTTATATGGATATTAGAGACTATAGCTTCACTTCTTTGGGTAGTATGCATTAGGATCCACTAATAATAAAAAATATATTGTAGAAGTGTGTCATGCAGAATGCAGTAATATGGAAAAAATCCTCTAATTGGTAGTTCCTAGTGTTTTATAAGCAAAAGTGGACAGAGGGTAGATCTGAAGGCAATTAACAAATGCAGTTGATGTCAACAAAGGAAAAATGGATGAAAAGACTGTGGATAGTTTATTTGAGAAGAAATACCAAGTACAAATATAGAAGGAGTTCCTGAAGAAAAATTCTCAGTGGTTGACACTCAGCGGCATATGAAAATTCGGGCTAGACAGGAAAGAAGAGCTTCACAGATAGGGGAATACCCATAAACTATGCTACAAAGGGATGCTAGCAACATTGCCAAAGACAGAGTATGAGTTTCCACTTAACATTGTGAGGATAGAAATAATGAAATCAATTTGTCATAAAGCAGCAGGCACAAGTTGATGACCCACTAGAGATCTCTGTCATCACAGATTATTTTCTGGTTATGTACCTTCTAAAGACGGAAAGCAATGGGTGGCACAAATGCTTTTGTATTGGATTAAGGGTGTACTTTTCACACCATGACCCATTTCACATTCAGCCTACTCTGAATTCAATTCACATTAACATCTTGGTGTGCCTTATAATGGAGAGATTAATGACTCTCAGAAAATAACACTGAATATTTGGAACCTCAGAAGAAATGTGTTTGTTTCTCCCTTTACCCTGTTTGTCATAGTGATGATGGGCACCACTTACCACCTGGTAGCAAATAAAAGAGAACCTTAGAATCTTGTTTTCTCAGCTGGAAAGAAAATCTTTTGAGTTGACAAATCTTGATGAACAGTTACAAGTTTATAAGCACTGTCTTCAGACTCTTTTGTATCTGTGTTACCTGCATTTGGGTCATGGTTAACATATGTGATTATGTCAGGAGCCCTGTGATGCAGTGGTTAAGCACGTGGCAGCTCCCCAGAAGGTCAGTGCCTTGAACCTATTAGCCACTCCTTGGCAGAGAGGTGCGGCAGACTCTTCCCATAAAGATTTACAGCTTGGAAACCCTACTGAGCAGTTCTCCTCTACCCTGTAGGGTCACTATGTGTTGGAATCAACTCAGTGGCAATGGGATTGGTTTTAGGAAAGAGTAAGCACTGTTAGACAGCTTGCACAAAGAGGTGGGATTCTACAATGTGTCACTACTAGATCTTTGATCCAGTATAGCTATTTGTTTAAAATGATTAGGGCTATTACAAAATACACATATGATTTAATAGTTTTTACTTTTTCTTACAGTATTCATTGCAACTTCATATGAGGATACAATATTCATTTATATTTCAGATTGGTTCAAAGTCTTCTTTGTGTACTTTTATGTCAGCATGTGTATATGCAAACATATATCCTTGACTCTCGACGAGCTTGAAATTTAGTGGAGGAGAATTATAAGCAGATAACACCAATGAATCATGATAAATACTATGAAAGAAGGATTGTAAGAAGTGTGATAGCTCAGAGAGGAGGGATTTTTATTCTTTGAAAAGAGGTTTGGTGAAGATTTCACAGAATACAGGACTTTTACACTGGAATTTAAAAAGCAGCAGAATTTTGCCTGTAGAAAGTGGAAAGACAAGAATTACAAGTAGAGAAGGATAAAGAGGGAAGAAGAGTAAGAGAAGTAGGGATGAAAGGGAAGAGAAAATTGTAGAAGAAGGGAGAGTAGGAGGAGCAGAAAGCATGACATATCTTGTGAACATGCGGTAATTTTGCTGTAAACTGGAGTTTATAGTAGATATAGTGCAGGGCATTCAATTAGTGGGGAAAGTTGAAAATGAATATTTTAACCATTTTAGCCATGCTGATAGATTCATAGTCTATCCAAGGATGAAACCAATGGATGTCTGATAAGCAGAAAGGTATCAGCTGCTTACTTTTGTAGTTGTTGTTGTTGTTATGGATTATCACATGTAATCGTCACCACATCTCTGGGAGGTGGACATTATCTCAGTTTTGCCATTGAGTTGGTTCTGACTAATAGCAACCCTATGTACAAAAGAACAACAACAACAACAAAATACCTGGTTCTGCACTGTCCTAACAATTGTTTCTTCAGCTCATTGTGGCAGCCACTGTGTCACTCCATCTCTTTGACGTTCTTCCTACTTTTTACTGACCCTCTATTTTTCCAGTATGGTATCTTTTTCCAGAGACTGGTCGCTACTGGGGAGCTCTGATGGCTTAGAGCCTAAGGTATTTGACTGCTAACCATAAGACTGGCAGTTTAAACCCACCAGCCACTCCTCGGAGGAAAGGTTGGGCAATCTACTTCTGTAGTGATATCTCCTCTGAAACTCAAGGAGTCGCTATGAGTCGGATCTGACTCCACAGCAGTAGGCATTTTTTTTTTTTTTTTTTGGCACTACTGATAACATAGGAACACTGGTAGTGTAGTGCCTAAAGCACTTGACTGCTAACTAGAAGGCTGGCAGTTCAAAGTCACCAGCCACTCCTTGGAAGGAAGGTTGGGCAATCTACTTCCATAGTGATACCGCCTCGGAAATCCAAGTAGGGTTCACTATGAATCAGGTCCGACTCAATGGCACATAACAACAACAACACTGATAACATGTCCAAAGTACATGAAATCAATTCTCACCGTCTTTGCTTCTAAGGTATATTCTGGCTGTATTTCTTTTAAAATAGATTTGTTCATTCTTCTGGCAATCCATGGTGTACTCAGCGTTCTTCAAAACCATACTTCAAATGCATCAATTCTTCCTCGTTATTCCTTATTCACTGTCCAGATTTCCCATGCATATGAGGGGACTGAAAATTTTATGGCTTCAGTCAGGTTCACCTCTGTCCTTAAAGTGACATTTTTGCTTTTGAACAGTTTAAAGATGTCTTTTGCAGCAGACTGGCCCAATGCAATATAGGTCATTTGACTTCTTGACTGCAGCTTCCATAAGCATTGATTGTGGATCCAAGTATAACGAAATCCTTGAGAATGTCAGTCTTTTCTCCATTTATGATGATGTTGCTTATTAGCTCATGTTTGAGGATTTTTATTTTATGTTGAAGTGTAAGCCACACCAAAAGCTGTAGTCTTTGATATTCAAAAGTAAGTGTTTACAGTCTAACTCATTTTCAGCAAGCAAGGTTGTGTCATCTTCATTCTTTTTCATAGAGTTAAGCTTCCTAGATTATTTGCTCAGCATACAAATTTAATAAATATGGTGAAAGGATACAACCCTGACACACACATTTCCTGATTTTAAACCACACAGTGTGTTCTTGTTCTGTACAAATGACTACCCCTTGCTATATGTAAAGGTCCCTCATGGACACAAGTAAATGCTCTGTAATTCCTATTCTTACAGAATTATCCAAAACTTGTTATAATCCACACCATCAAATACCTTTGTATAGTTAATTAAACACAGGTAAACATCTTTCTGGTATTTTTCTGCATTCAGCCAAGATACATCTGACATCAGCAATGATATGTCTCATTCCACATCTTCTGAACATGCCTTGAATTTCTGGCAGTTTCCTCTCGATGTAGTGTTGTGATTATTTTTGAATTATCTTCTGTAAAATTTTACTTGTGTGATATTAATGATGTTGTTTGATAATTTCTGCATTCCATTATATTACCTTTCTTTGGAATGGCCACAAGTATGGTTGTCTCCCAGTCAGTTGGTATAGATGAGTGAGTACTTCCAGTGTTACATCCATTAGTTGAAAGACCTCAATTGATATTCCATCAGTTCCTGGAGGCTTATATTTTGCCAATTCCTTCAGTATGACTTAGACTTCTTCCTTTCTTTTCATCAGTTCTTGATCATATGCTCCCACTTGAAACACTTGATCATCAATCATTTTTTTTGTTAGAGTGACTCTGTGTATTACTTCTGTCTTCTTTTGAAGCTTCCTGTGTCATTCAATATTTTGTCCATAGAATTCTTCAGCATTGCAACTGGAGGATTGATTTTTTTTTCCAGTTCTTTCAGCTAAAGAAATACTGAATGTGTTCTTCCCTTTTGATTTTCTAACTCCAAGTCTTTGTACATTTCATCATAATATGTTACTTTTTCATCTCAAGCTGCCCTTTGAAATCTTCTGATCATCTCTCTTATTTCATCATTTCTTCCACTTGCTCTAGCTACTCTACATTCAAGAGCAAATTTCATAGCCTCTTCTGACATCCATTTTGGTCTTTTCTTTCTTTCTTATCTTTTTAATGAAATTCTACACTCTTCATGTATAATAGTCTTTATGTTATAGCACAACTCATCTATTCTTTGATTGTTAGTGTTCAATATACCCATGGGGTAAAATAACTTCCCAAGTTTAATCAGCTCATAATTTGCACGGTTCAAATTCAAATTCATTCATCATGATACTAAATCTCAAAGATCTAACCACTACTTCAACAGGTAGTGTAGGCACAACATCTAAAGAAGGAGGAACTGTGAGTAAATCAGATGTTATTTTCCTACTTTTCTTTTTCAGGTCTCTTTGCAACAAAATAGAGCAGCAACTGCCTTCAACTGCTATCCTTCACGACTTCATGATGTTTTCCATGGCCAGAAACGCACTATTCAGTCTTAAGATTCAGCGCATTAAGCAAATGGTGGCAAGACAGAACCACCAACAATACTCACCAGATTTTCATGACAAATATGGTAATACTATACTAGCCAGTGGAGCAACTTCCTGTGTTTTGGCATGGGTATTTGTAATCACACAGATTGGACTACAATGGAACCTGTCTCCTGTGGGCAGAGTCACCCCAAAGGAATGGAAAGAGAAGTAGCCATCACATAAGTTATAATTGCAAATTGCTTCAAAACCAACTTGCTATGTGAGTACTCTGCTGCTCATCAATGTATGACATGATTAAAGAAATAAAATACACTTGAAACTTTAAAAAAGTGATTGCAAATAGTAAATATGTAAATTTAGTAAAATAGTAATTATAGCAAGACAAGGCAGTAGCAAAGGGTATAGATCACAGAGGAATATAAATTAAAAATATGTGAAAGTAGGATTAATAAAGCATGCATTCTTTTGGCTTACTGATTTACACTAGGTATGTTCCAGTGAATATACACACATTGTACCAAACTAATTAATTTAATTGCCTGACAAATCCTATTGAACTTACATTAAAAAAAAATATCCAAAATCTGATCATTTCTCATATCTTTCATCTTTCCCACCGTGGTGTGAATCACCCTAATCTAGCTGGTATTATTATAAAACTCTATTGAAGTCCTTACTTTTGTACTTGTCCTTTCTCCAACCCCTTGCCCTTTGCTCCCAACACACAAATGCATATGCATGGTTTTTCTTCAGCACAGTAGCTAAAGTTATAATTTTATAACATTAGTGTGATGATGTCATTTCTTTCTTCTAAACCAAATGACTCCCTATTTCACTCTAGAATAAAAGTAAAAGCCCTTAGAGAGCTGCAGGGATCCCTATGTGACGCACTGTTTGATTTCACTTCTGCATCAAGAGTTTTCCATTTGCACTTTCTTATTTGTATACCTCCTCCAGATTCAGTATGACTCACTTCTCATAACTTTTAGGATTTTGTTCACACATTACCATTCCCATGAGACCTTCTCTGACCATACTTTTTTTTTTTTTTTATCTTTAGATTTATTGTTACTTATTTATTTTTTTTTAAATTAGGATTTGGGTGAAGATATACAGAGTAAATTCACTTTTCATACAGCAGTTCACATATACTTTGTCTCATGTCATTGACCAAAATTTACAATGCAGCAGCTC